GAAAACCAATACCTGTCACCCATTCTGTATGATACGCTGCATATGAACATTTGGGAGCTGCTCTCTGTTAAATTCTCTCATCATTAGAAGCCATGTTTCTGCCCCCCTCTCATTTACTCCTGCAGTATGTTGTACCCACCAGCTTCCTGGGGAATGAAGAATCAGTAGGAGCTGATTGGAGTCTTCTGAAAGCATAGAAACAGCAGGATACCTGCGCCATGGTTGGGTGTGCTATTCCCTGACAGTGGCTTGTATCAGACGAGGGTGTGTGTGTGTGTGTGTGTGTGTGTTTCCTGCTCCCTAATTATTGCCTTCTAATTATCCCCTCCATAATTAAATTCCCATTAAAATTTGGGGTGAAAGGATAGGTTAGTTAGAGGTTTCCAGTAAATGGTTTACTACCACAGCTCATTGCCAGCCATTAAAATGCAAATCTCACCGGGTGGGTAGGATGGGCTTTGATGGATCTTTTTGTGGGGGTAGAATCAACAGTTAACGTAGTCTTTTGGGTTATCAGCAGATATGGCTTCATTGCTATGCTCTCGGGCAGTTTTGCACACTTCTGCATTCTGGGAAATGGAACCGGGACACTAGAGGAAAGAGCTGGGGAGCAGCCTCATGCTTGACTGCATCTGAGTTATGCAAACACCAGTCCTGCCCAGCGGGCGAGGGCATGGGCTGCCCAGAATGTGTCATCTGAGAGATCCTGGGGTCCCGGCCCTTCTGAGTGGAAAGATCTCCTGCTACTGGTCTCAGGGTCTGCTCTCTGTATCAATCAGCCGAATTCTGCAGCTGAGAATTTTCAGCTCACTTAAGACTATCTGAAGGTGGTGATGTCTAAAGGGGTCATCAAAGCATTTAAGTTGGAATTTAAGATGTGTGTTCTATAGTACTTTTTTCTGTCAAGAAATCAGACAAGGGTGACTGTAGGAATTCTTGAGAACGTGAGGGAGTATTCTTGGTCTGGAGCTAGGTCCAGTATGGTAGCCATCAGCCACGTGTGGCTAGTTGAGCCTGAGATGTGGCTTATCTAACTGCGACATGCCATCAGGATGACATGTACAAGGGATTATGAGGAATTACTAAGAAAAAGGGCATGTAATAGAACTCAGCGATCATTGTTTAGTATTGATTGCATATTAAAATAATATTTTGGCTGTATTGAAAAGAATAAAATAATAAAGTTAACTCCACCTTTGTTTGTTTTTTTTTTTTTGAGAGGTTTTTGCTATAGGGCGTGTGCGTGCGCCAGAAAGACAGAGAGAAACAGAGAGACAGAAAGCGAGAAATCACCCTCCCAAGGGGGGATGGCCACGCTACAATCTGTTCTTTTTCATTCTCCTCTCAGGATCTTGGGCATGCACGCACACGCGCCCGGCGTGAGTTTAAGCCATTGGGTCCCGGACTCAAACCGGGGTCGACTACATGGGAGTCCAGCAACATAGGCATTACGCCAACTGCTGGTCCCTGTGCCACCTTTTTTTTATAGTTATTGAAAACTGTAAAAATGATAATCGTGGGGGCCAGCAAGGGGCCTGGTGGTTTAGGTGCTGGATTCACACATGGCCAACCACAGTTTGAGTCCCAGACCTGGAGGCTTGCTTTCTCACTTTCCCTCTCTCTCTTTTTCTCCCTCTGTCTCTCGCCAGTCAAATAAAAAAAAAAAAACAATAAAAAGAAAATTAAATAAATAATTTTGAAAACTGATCGTTGTGGCTCGTATCGCTCATATTGTGTTCCTGGTGAACAGTGCTGGGCAGGACATCATCCTGATTCTCCTGTCTGCATAGGGTTCCTTCTTCCCACTAGAGGGAGATGTGTCCCGCCTTTTGGAGATCTGGGTTTAGCATGTAAACTTTACAGGTTACGGATGCGTGCACTAATTAGTTATTTTCTTTAGTTATGTAGAGTGCATGCCGGAGGTAAGAGAGAGGGAAAGTGAGCACCTGCCACAGGGTCTGGTCACACTGCAGGCCCTTCTTTCTGTCCTCTCACCCTTTGGATCTTGGGCGCTCATGCACAAGACTGGCATGTTTCGGGTTGACCCATGGCTATGGTTGCCATGTGGGACCCAGTTTCTCACGGATAGCGCATTGCCACTGCGCCATGCAGCTGAGCCTGAATGTGCTCTTGTAAAACAAACAAACAAACAAACAAAAAAACAAAAACAAAAACAAGACAAGGGGAAAAACGGCTCAGGCTTCTGCTTTGTTTCAATTCTGCATCATTCTGGTGTTTCTGGAGGTTGTGTTTTGTGTGAATATGAAACCAGAACAGCAAAGGGAAGAGCCCAGAGAGGTTTCCCACTTTCTTTGTATTGATGGATTCTGAGGTTGCTACAACCTCTTCGTTGCAGTCACTTGTCACTTGTTCATGGATTTGAGTCTGTGCACAATGGCTGCATCCCCCCATCCCATAATAAGTGTGGTCTTGTGTGCAGTCATAATGGAAGGACCTGTGTCCTCCTACAGTCACACACCTGGGTGACATTCTTGGAGCACATGCAGTACAAAGCGTATTTTTGAGCCAGTGCACTGTGCCTTCGCCATCTCTGTTCCTGGGCTAATGGGGCTTGCAGTTTGGTGCAGGGGCATCTGTTTGCACTGGACTCTTGCGAGGCCTACTCTGAAACCAGCGTTGTTTCACGACTAGGTCTTAGTGACATCTGTGTCTCTCCCGGTTTTCCCTCTGGATAGATCCTCTACAATTTCCTGTGTGTGTGTGTCTGTGTGTTTTATACTTTGTTTTTGTTTTGATAAACATTGATTTTTCCCTTCTTGTCTATGTACTCTTTATCCCTTTTGGGGGGAATTGCAGCTGTTCTGATGGCTTTGTCATTACCATTGTAATGAGGACTCCTAGGTCTTTATTTCTACTTTAGGACTTTTTTTTTTGAGCTTCATACACACACACACACACACCTCTGCCTACTGGATACACAGACATCAAAATCAACCCCCACAGCTCTCCTCTCCCTCACGTCACAGTTCTCAGCAGGACAGTAGTGTCTGATCGTTTGCGTGTCTGTTTTCCCCAGTGCATAGGAAGCCCTAGGAGGACGGAATCCACACCAGGCCTGTTCTGTGTCATTCTATGAAATGCTAGCTAATCGTACACTCTCAAAAAGTGTTCAAAGATTTCGATAGATCTTTCATTTTAAATCAGTTGTATTGTTTACTTACAAACATATTTATTATAATTGTACGATTCCATTTTATTATGTTTTATTATCATGATATGTACATTGCAGTTATGGTCACCATAATTTATTTCATTTTTGTTTTAGTTTTTTTAATTGTCAGAAGGCATGTGCACTCGGCGGGGGAGGGGGATCCCCCCATGGGATGTAGTTATACCACAATCCTTTCCTCTGTTTCTCCATCCTGTAAGGGTTCGAGGTGTGTGCGTGTGCATGTGCACACACACGTGCAAGCAAGCAGGACCAGATTTCCAACTGTGGTCAGCCATGTAGCATCTGACTTCCTACATATAGGCCTTAACAACTATGCTAAAGGGCTGGTCTCCAATTTCTTTTTAAAGATTTATTTATTTTATTTATTATTATTATTTTTATTTTGAACAGAGAGAGACAGAGAGAGAGAGAGAGAGAGAGAGGGAAAGTGAGAACGCAAGCTGCCAGGTCCAGGACTTGAACCACAGTCACCTCTACAATTTCCTGTGTGTGTGTGTCTGTGTGTTTTATACTTTGTTTTTGTTTTGATAAACATTGATTTTTCCCTTCTTGTCTATGTACTCTTTATCCCTTTTGGGGGGAATTGCAGCTGTTCTGATGGCTTTGTCATTACCATTGTAATGAGGACTCCTAGGTCTTTATTTCTACTTTAGGACTTTTTTTTTTGAGCTTCATACACACACACACACACACCTCTGCCTACTGGATACACAGACATCAAAATCAACCCCCACAGCTCTCCTCTCCCTCACGTCACAGTTCTCAGCAGGACAGTAGTGTCTGATCGTTTGCGTGTCTGTTTTCCCCAGTGCATAGGAAGCCCTAGGAGGACGGAATCCACACCAGGCCTGTTCTGTGTCATTCTATGAAATGCTAGCTAATCGTACACTCTCAAAAAGTGTTCAAAGATTTCGATAGATCTTTCATTTTAAATCAGTTGTATTGTTTACTTACAAACATATTTATTATAATTGTACGATTCCATTTTATTATGTTTTATTATCATGATATGTACATTGCAGTTATGGTCACCATAATTTATTTCATTTTTGTTTTAGTTTTTTTAATTGTCAGAAGGCATGTGCACTCGGCGGGGGAGGGGGATCCCCCCATGGGATGTAGTTATACCACAATCCTTTCCTCTGTTTCTCCATCCTGTAAGGGTTCGAGGTGTGTGCGTGTGCATGTGCACACACACGTGCAAGCAAGCAGGACCAGATTTCCAACTGTGGTCAGCCATGTAGCATCTGACTTCCTACATATAGGCCTTAACAACTATGCTAAAGGGCTGGTCTCCAATTTCTTTTTAAAGATTTATTTATTTTATTTATTATTATTATTTTTATTTTGAACAGAGAGAGACAGAGAGAGAGAGAGAGAGAGAGAGGGAAAGTGAGAACGCAAGCTGCCAGGTCCAGGACTTGAACCACAGTCAGCCATGTGGGAGTCTAGCACCTTAACCAACAGTCTACCTGTCAGCCCTGGCCCCAGATTTTTAACAGCCTGTCAGAGTGGGGCACCTGCACTAACCCCACCAGTATTTCCTTGTGCTGGAACCTTTTCTCCTTTTGTGACCCTCGTTATGAGCTGAAATGAACGTTTCCATCCGTCCTGCCATGTATTTCCAGGAACTCGGGTCACAGAAAGCTGGAAGGGAAGGTCAAGGAGTTGGCACGTGTCCATGCCTGTAGTGCAGGCCCCCCGCCGCTGTTCCAGGACACATTCCAACCCCTTTTAGTGCTTCTGCTATTCAGCCGATCCAGCGTTGTTTAGATTTGTCACTAACGGAGACCGTTTTTCTTGCCAGAACATGAAGAGGAACTGGACCAAGAATTTGAGCTGGAGACTGATGCTTTATTCGGAGGATTAAAGAAGGTACAAATGGATACATAATAAACCTCAGTTTTCCAACCTGATTTCATTACTTTACATCACTTCATATTTGGGTTAACCTGGGTACAGCACCCAGCACCGACATGGAACCGAGTTCCTGTCACATCGTCCAGCCGCGAGTGTGCCGCTGGAGAAGGTCTTCCCCGTGGTCTTTGCCATCGTGATCCCTGCTCTCTTCTGAAGACACTAGAGATCTGATAACGTAACCATTTTCCGGGTTCAGGGCTTTCAGGACAGGTTTCCCTTTTGTCAAGTTTGGAAAGTGCCTTCCTGACCTGGCCAAATGTGTTAGAATCAAATGGGACCCAGGACACTCCCTGTACCAGCTGTAGGCAGCTGTGAGACCATCTTTCTTCCTATCTCCGTGTCCCTGCCCATCCGGGCTGCCACAGAACATGCTGGAAATTTCTGTCCCCTCTTCTCCCTGGCACTGCCGAGGTGGTGGGCTGGCTCATCTGTCTTCTGTGGCAGCTCTTTTTGCCTGTGTTGGCGGCAGGCAGGGTGGCTATGATTTGGTCACATACCTTGTGTCCTTCTAGGTTGTCAAGTAGCACTTCCGTTCTGGGGTGTGTGGTGGGGAGGTGCCAGACCCTCCTCTTCCAGTTGAGAGCTGCTAGATTATTCTCCCTCCAGAACTCCTTTCCTTTTAAGGCTGGGGTTCTCTTTGTTCCTCCCCTTTCAGTTTCCCAGGACCCCATTTCAGGAGTGACTTTGTGCATAGAAGGTCCCGGGCCCAGCTCTTGGTTTGGGGTTCAGTCAGAGTCAGTTAGAAGCAGTATATTTGTTTTACTAAGAATTTTGATTTTTTTTTTAAAGAATTATTTTATTTGACTTTTTATTTATTTATTTTTATTTTGATCAGAGAAGGACAGAGTGAGAAAGCAAGAGAGAAAGAGAGACTGAGAGAGAGGGGAGGAAAGCGAGAAAGCAAGCCTCTAGGCCTAGGACTCAAACTGTAGTCGGCCACGTGGGAGTCCAGCGCCCTTAACCACCATGCCACCTGCTGGTTCCAGAATTTTGATATGTTTTTAAAATGATATTGAAGCATTTTCTTTTGTTTTATATTTTGATGTTAATTAAGACTATTTTTATCCTAAGTGTAGTATACCAAATATGTTGTGAACTCAGTCAGGTTTTGTGGGCTGGCTTGGGACATAAAGTGATGCTTACATTCTACATGTTGTACACCCTACCTACAAATGAACTTTTGGAAGACAATTCATTTCCAAATTGAGCACCGTCTGAACTGATACTCTTCTATGTTGACAGTTGCAGAGCTTGCTTTATAAATTACCGGATGGCAAAGGGCATGTGAGCATGAGAGAGAGCAGAAAAGAGAGGACCCTTCCGACGGGGCGTGGTCCTGTAGCAGTCGTTTCCTCTCCATCTCTCCATATGCCATCAGGAGTCTGGGCATGGACACCTGGTGTGTTTTTCAGGGGGGCTGGTATCTGGTTTTCTATGCATAGCACTTAACCATTGTGCCTTGAGGCTGTCCTTTGTTTAGAATTTGTAACAGACTTACTCCAGTTTTCATTTTGCTTTGCCAAGTAACCTGTCCCTTTCCCCAGCTTTGGATAAAACCACTATATTGCCTTGATGGTCTGTGTTTGCCAGGACTTGGTAATGTGTCCTGGCCTGAGTAGGGACAAACTTTCATTGCTTTAGTACCAGACAGTTCCATGAAAAGTTAGATGCATCCATTTCTCGATGTATCTATTAAAGTGCACCCTTTCTAGGACTGTTAGGCATGTAAAGTGGGTGGGATTACGCCCATTGCAGAGAAGAGGCCGTTTGGGAAGCTTTCTGTTGCAGCAGAGTTTGAGATATAACAGGATATAGCCCCTGTGAGTGTCGTGGGTCTGTTCTTTGGAACTACAATATCATTGGATCTCTTCCAGCAGGAAGAAAATAAGGTCATCTTTTCCCCCCTGTAGAATGACAATTCAGGCATTTCGGATACTACTGAATAATAAAAGTAAGCAAACCCTTTCAAACCAAGAGACTTTTAGCTGTAGAGAAGCAGTGTGAGGCAGTCCGAGAAACTGAACAGAGGGTAGGCCCCAACATGTTTTAGAGCAACCACAGATTTCTTGCCAAGGGCGGGCTTAGGCCAGCAGTATTTGCTACTTCTAGTCAAAAAAGCTTTGTCCTCACTGGGTTCCTGGCTCCCATCACTCCTCCATGTCTAGCTGCTTGACCCCAGCTAAGGTTCACAGACCTGGAGAGAGGACCTCTTCTAAGCATCGTCATGACAGCCCTTAAATAGGGTTTGGGGCCAGCAGATGGCATGTTGGTTAAGGAGCTGGACTCCCACATGGCCAACCACATTCATGTCCTGGACCTGGTGGCTTGAAAATCATGATGGGTATGTGTCCGAAATTCCAAGAGGAGAATGGATTGTGGTGTGGCCATCTCCCCTGGAGGGGTGTGTGTGTGATTTCTCCCTTTCCCTCTCACTGTCTCTCTCTGTCTCTCTCCAGCAAACATGTGCACTCTATGGTAAAAACCTTAAAAAAAAAATAGGGATCAGGACAAACCCTACCTTCAATGGAAAAGTTCATGAGGAACAGATATAAACTCTACTGTGCCGTCTGTCCATCCCTCTGTCCAAGTGACTCTCCATCCATCTACCCCAGCTCCTGAGCACCTCTCTCTTCCTCATCTTTCTACATCTCATTACCTGGCAATGAAGTGGCCGGCTGGGAGTCCTGGAATCCAGAGAGGAAATGCTGAGTCCTGGTGCAGTCCTACAGAGGAAGGACACTGGTACTGAGTCCTTGGATTCTGGGCCCTCCTCATGGAGTATTTCCCTTCTCAGGAGCTATCAGAAGTGGCCACTCCTGTTCAAACCCCAATCAAAAGACAATATAAGGGAGCCAGGTGGTGCAGCCAGATCCCCATGGTAGAGGTGCTGGGTTGGCATCCATGTACCTCCTTGAGCATCCCAGCATGCACGTACATGCCCACAGTCTGGGCAAGCTGAGACTGGGTGTAGATTGTGGTGTGAAGACCCCAGTGGGGACACTGGCGTCTCTTCTCTGTCTCTCTCTCATGGAAGAAATAAGCAAAATTAAAAAAAAATAATAAAAGCAAACTAAAAGAAGATATTAGGTATGAATTGAGACCATGAACTTCAGAAGAAAGTTCATGCTCTCTGACCAGCCCCGTCCCCGAAGGTTAGTCAACAGCCAGGTTGACACCCTTGGCACTGTTGCTGTTTTGGACAGAGTGTCCTCTGTGGTGTAGGAGCTGCTCCGTGGTTGTGGGAGGCTCCGCAGAATCTAGTAGTTGCTAGCAGTATTCTCTACGCCAGCTCTTGGCGGTCAGGAATGTCTGCCATTGCCCAAGTCACCCACCTCTGAGAACAGCCGGGCACAGGATCACTGAAGGGTGTTGTCCTCACTACTGTGGGATGCTGATTCGCCATTCTTCCCTCAGCTCCTCCTGTTTCCTCGTTGGGATTGTGGCTCACCCCCACCCTTGCTCACACTCCAGAGCTCAGCCGTGTCTCCCTGTTATGAAGGCACTGCCTGAACCTGGGCTGGGCTTAGTACTCATAGTTCTGCCCAGCTCCTTACCCCATTCGTAACTTCAGCTTTTCATGAGTGTGTTTCTGGGCTCAAGTCCTTTTCTTAAAAAATTATTTTTCCTTTATTTATGATAGAATAAGTGAGGGCATAGGCTGGAACAAGGAAGCGAGGGAGAGGTACCCTCCTCAGGGTCTGGACATGCCACAATCCCTTCTGTCCTTCATCCTGTTGGATCTGGGGTCCTCGTGCATGCGCCCAGAGTGTTTCACCATGGGACTCCCAGCACTGCTGTCCAGCACACCACTGCCTGCCCTACCACCTGCTGGGCCTCAAGTCCAGGCTGAGTGCGGGACAGAGGTGGGCTAGCACATACGGTTCCCATTCCAGGGTCTCCTAGTGGGGACAGGCCAACAGCGAGTACATAAATAAACATAATTGCCACAGCCTGAGCCAAGTGAAGTGAAGGAAGTGAGGAGGGCGACATGATAGTTGTGCTTTGGATTCTATTGTGTAAGGATACATTTACACAGCTATAAACGTAATGATACATTTATTTGTACATTTTTATTGTGTATTCCGCATCTCAGACTGTGAGTCACACAAAGGTGGAGCTGGGATTTTAATCGTTGGTGTGTCCTCAATTCCTAGAATAGAGTTAGGTGAGTATTTTATCAAATTTAACTGCAGGAAAGAGGGAAGAACACCATGCCAGATTGCAACATCAAAATAAAATACATCCATCCTAGGTGCATCTGGGTAGACATGTCAGGAAATGCTAAGTGGGGCAATGCTTAGAGTCAGCGCAGGGAGAGATCATGAGGGCATAAGCAAGGTTACCTTCAGCTGAGCTGAGAATGGGTAGAACACGGCCAGATCATCAGTTTATGAGATGCTATTCCAGTAGGGGTCGCTATGATTAGAAAAGGGATAGACATGAGCCAACTTGTGACCTAGTGGTTAAGGGAAGCCAGATCCCACATGGTCAGTCAGACAGTTCAAATCCTGGCCCTGATGGCTTGAAGAAACATGCCAGGTGGTTGTGCAGGCATGCCCCAGTTCCCTACAGGATAGAGAGATGGCAGAGAAGGGATTGTGGCATGACCATGCCCCGTTGGGTGGTGCTTTCTGGCTCCTCCTTTCTCTCGGCATCTGTCTCTCTCTGTCAAGTGCACACACCCTCTGGCAATTGGAGAGAAGGGATGGAGGATGGAAGGTTAACAGTGGCACAGCAGTGAAATGAGTAATTCTCCAAGGCAATTTCACAAGGGAAGGTTCCTGGTTCAAGTCCAGAGACCTTCCTGAGTGTATGTTTTCCCTTAACTTAGGGCAGGTGAGGGCGGATCACAGCCTTAAAAACTCTACTAGGAGTGGGGCTGGCAGATGGCGTGGTGGTTAAGGTGCCGGATTCCCACATGGCCAACCATGGTTTGAGTCCCGGACCTGGTAGCT